TTAGCAAGCAATGTTCTACAGACAGTATTTATGTATCCTCTGCAACCATTTCCTGCTGAATTTTCTCTTTTTGAACTATATGTTCAAAGAAGCCTCATCTGAAGCAATTATCATGCACATATAAGTGGTTTGAATAATCAGTCTGTGATCATGGCTAGTGGTAGCTTTTCCCCAAGTGGCTAGCAGTTGTGTTAAAAAAAAAAAAAGTTGATTCATTTTTTGACTGACTTAGTTAAAATGTGTTTTTCAGACACCTTCGTCTAAGGTCTTAACCAAACATTACAGTGCAGTTGAATTTTAAAACCTTATCTCATTATCATTCTTGCTATTTTATGTATGTGTAGGCATAGCAGATGCCTTTTACCTGCTAAAACTTCAGGATGGACCACATTCTAACCCTTTGTAAATCACTGTGTATTTGTCTGTCATTCTTCCTTGGAGCTTACAGAGGAATTAAGAAGAGAGACTAATACAGGTCAGGGGATGGGGTGGGGAGCAGAACAGGGAGAGGAGGAGGAGCTAAGTCAGTGAAGTTAGCAGCTCCTGCCCAGAACAAGTAGGAGAGTAGATCCATGCAGCAGTCAAGGTTCTTTGTTACTAGAAATAGATACTCATTTTATCTGATTATGAAAAAAGGAAAGTTTTTTTAAGAAAACAAAACATTATAAGACTCACAATATTGAGCAAATTGAAAACAAACAAACAAACAAACAAACAAACATAACCAGGACACAAATACCTCCCACATCTTCCTACCAGTTTTCCCCCTGATAGTCAAATTGTCCCTGATGATCAGATACCTCTCCTGCTGTCCCAAGGAAACAACCTTGCTTTCCAGGTTAGTTGAAGGTCATATGAGCCTCTTCCTCTTGTAATTCTCATTGGTAAAGCCTCTGTCATATCACTATAACCCTACAAAACTCCCCTAAGGCAGGAAATCACCCAGTCTGGGCAAAGATGCTCCCCAGTGGGAGAGACAAAGGCTCATGGAACTTCCAAACTACTTCATTCATTCAACTTCACTTATTCTTAAGTAGCTCCAGCATGCCAGGCCCAGTCGCTTGGATTAGTTCCCCAGAGATCACGTTGCATTAAAATTTTTATATGTTTCTCTTGGCGTTTCAGTCCTTTCCCACATTACCTACCCTAAACTAAAGGTCGTCCCAAGGCTGGGATCTTGTCATATTATATGACATATTGCCATGTATTCGATAAATATGTATGAACAAATAAATCATAAAGGAACAAAGTGTTACACAAGTAAATGGTGCAAGAAAGAGCATCCTTGATGTGGAATTGTAGATTAATCTTAAGGAAAAAAGCTAATCACTGTTCTAGGGAGAGGGAACAGTATGGAGCACATCTTGGAAGTGTGAGGTTGAGGATAGGTAGTAGAAAGGTGATATTGGTGGTTTAAATGTGAAATATCACGAGCAGTATCTGAACACTCGATCACAGACTTTTTGGTACTTTTTGAGAAGTTGTGAAATCTTTGGGCGGTGAGTGAGTCTACCAGGAGGAGGTAAGCCTGAGTTTTATGCCTGGTCCCATATTGGAGCCACAGGTTGTCTCCTGGTCCATTAAGATGTAAGACGCCCCAGCCACACCAGCCGTGATCTTCCCACCCCGTGGATGAACTCTGTCATACCACCCCTGCTGTTGTAGCTTGCTTTCGGTTGCTATGATAAACACCATGACCGGAATCAACTTCGGAGAGGAAAGAGTGTTATGTCATACAGTCACAGTCCACCACTGAGAGAAGTCAGGGTAGGAACTCAAGCGGGGACTGAAAGATAAACCACAGAGGAACGCTGCTTACTTGCTTGCCCTCAGGCTCGTGATTAGTTAACTTTCTTCTACAGCCCAGATCCCTGTGTAGGAATGGAACCGACACAGTGGGCCGGGCCCTCCTGAACCAATCAGCGTTAGGCTGGAACCCCTGCTCATACTCTGCTTAGCTGGGAAACCCTGTCTGCCCTCCTTCCTCCAAACCACGGCCCCACAGAGAAAACTCCCCCATCAACTTGGAGAAAACTCCGGGCTAACATGTCATCATTCCTTGTCTCCCTGTTTCCAACAACCGACCCAAGAAAATCCATCTAGGGGCTCAGTTTTTGAACACGTGTGGACACAATCCCAGCTCCTAACATCACTCCTCGCCAAAGCTCTATAAAGGCCCCTTGCTTTAGCCCGGATGTGTAACTTCACTGACCACCACCTGTGAGATCAGTGAACCTGCATGAGAGCTGCCTCCTAATGAACCTGCTTTGATTTTTTTTTTTTTTTTTTTTTTTTGGTCTATTCTAGCCTATATCTGCATCACCAAGGAAGAGAAAAAGCCTACTTTAGGAATCAAGATCATGTCTCCAGAAGCCACTCTGATTGAGACAATTCTTCAATCGAGGTTCCCTATTCCCAGATGACTTCAGTTGACAATAAAAACTAACCAAGCTATGGGCCACCTCAGACTGTCCCCTCTGAAATCATGTGCTCAATCATTCTTTTCTCCATGAAGACGTTTCTACTATCATGTATTATTGCTGTTTCAAGGAGAAAAAACTACTGCAATTGGCTCTATCAATGGCTCTTAATCTCTTGGGGAAAAGGGGACAAGGCCTGCCACCAACACTTTACAGCATTTATAGAGGAAAGGGGAGTAGCAGGAACGATGCTGAAAGACCATCCTGGTAGGTCTGAGGGTTATTCCTCTTGGCTACAGAGTATGTAGATGAGACGACAAGGAAGAAAGAAAGCAGCAAGCAATGTTGCAAAGACGTTCAGGGGTGCAGTGATCTCCTACCCTTTAGCATCCCAACTTTCCTACTTTGTTGACCACAGTTCCTTTCCTTTATTCCATGTCTGCTCACAACAGCCACTGCCGATAGGATGGTGTTCTAGTTTCATTTCTGTTGCCATGATAAAACAGCCTGACCAAAGCAACTTAGGGTAGGAAAGGGTTTACTTGGCTTACAATTCCAGGTTATGAAATTAATGTGCCACCTTGATACTCAAGAGCAGAAAGAGAATAAACAAATGGATCCTTGCTTGCTGGTTTTCTGTTTATACCCAAGCTAGCATGCTTTACTCTTTACCAGCTTAGGGAATGGTGCCACCCACAGTGGGCTGGGTCAGTTAGCAAGACAATCCTCCAGAGACATGAGCACAAGCCAACCTGATCTAGATAATTCCTCAGTTGAGGATTATAGCTGATTTTAGTTCTATCAAGTTGAATAAAACCAACCATCATAGGTGGTTATAGTAATCTTCCTAGCTGAGAGAGACTTCCTGTATTAGTCTTTCTTATAGTCTTATGCCAAGAAATTAGATCCAATTCAGCACCAAACTAACCGACTATCTACCAAGAGTAAGCCAGTGTACGACTATGGTATCCAGAAACTATCATCTCCCCAGGTATCTTGCAGCCTTAAACATCTGAATTCTGATAGTCAATTGCATACATCAAATACCTTTGAAATTAAAGGAACTGACAATCACATCAAAATAGGGAGAAATCGTGAAGCAAATGTCCTACACTACATGCTCAAAACTACTTGACTTTAAAAGTGTATCTTGAGGTGGGATAAAAATGACTAAAATTTATTATAGAAAATGTACAGAACTGCCAAACATGAAAAAGAATGAACGTCTGTCCCTTCTAAAATTGTTTCTGTTGACTTCCAATTTCCTGAATGTTGAATAAGTAATATTCAAATGGCAAACTGCAGCTGGATAAGTTAAATTCATCTGAAGGCATCTGAGGTTACTTTTTAGTACAAACTCTGTATGTATGTATGTATGTATGTATGTATGTATGTGTGTGTGTGTGTATGTATGTATGTGTGTGTGTATGTATGTGTGTATGTATGTATGTATGTGTGTATGTATGTATGTGTGTGTATGTATGTATGTGTGTATGTATGTATGTGTGTGTATGTATGTGTGTATGTATGTATGTATGTGTGTATGTATGT